TCTGTGTGTGTGTGTCTGTGTCTGTGTGTCTGTGTGTGTGTGTGTCTGTGTGTGTGTGTCTGTGTCTGTGTGTCTGTTGTGTGAGTGTCTGTGTGTTGTGTCTGTGTCTGTGTGTCTGTGTGTGTGTGTCTGTGTGTTGTGTGTGTCTCTGTGTGTGTGTCTGTGTGTGTGTGTCTGTGTGTGTGACACCTGCTGGGTCTGCCCGTGACCTCCTGCCAGCGGGCGTTCGACACTTCACGTGGCCTCAAGGTGCACTTGGCCTGGCACAAGCGTCGTGGTGACGTCACCGCCACTTAGTGGCGAATGGCGGTTGTTGTTGTTGTTGTTGTGTGAGTGTCAAGTTCGATTCCCGCTCACAGCCATCAACACCATCAGTGACAGCGATTATCTGAATCGGTACTGGGCGTCCCTAGGTCGACTCAGCCTCAAATATATACCTGGTGCGGTGTGTAGTCAACATCGCTAGCACTGGGGAGACAAAGGCGGCCGGGCGTGGTGCTGGCCACCCACCCCCTCGTGTGCCATTCCGGCCTTCATAGGCACTGCTACTCGCGAACAGCACTTGCCCCTACAGTCTGTTACAGGCTACACGGGGGACCTGTGTCTTTATAGTAGCATATACGTACCGCTGGTGATGATGGTCACGATGGTGGTGACGACGACGATGATGATGACGGTGGTGATGGTGGTGGTGATGATGATGATGGGTGATGATGGTGATGGTGGTGATGGTGATGGTGGTGATGATGATGATAATGGTGGTGATGATGGCGATAATGGTGGTGATGATGACGATAATGGTGGTGGTGATGGTGATGATGATGGTGGTGATGGTGATGGTGGTGATGATGGTTGTGATGATGATGATAATGGTGGTGATGATGATGGTGATGATGATGGTGATGATGGCGATAATGATGGTGATGATGATGATGGTGGTGATGATGGTGGTGATGATGGTGGTGATGATGGTGGTGATGGTGGTGGTGATGATGATAATGGTGGTGATGATGACGATAATGGTGGTGATGGTGATAATGGTGGTGATGGTGATGGTGGTGATGATGACGATGTTGATGCTGGTGATGGTTTTGATGTTTTTTAGGATTTTCTGCTGGAAGATCCCGTTACCAGCTCAGTGTTGAGGAGACACGGAGACTCTCCACACACAGATACTCGACTCGGCCTGCCTGGACCAGACGCCAACACAGTAATCATCACTCCCATTCTCATCACCATCATCGTCGTCGTCATCGTCACACACACTCACACACTCACATACTCACATACACACACACTCACACACTCACACACACTCACCATACTCACACACTCACACACACTCACATACTCACACACTCACACACACTCACATACTCACACACTCACACACACTCACATACTCACACACACACTCACACACTCACACCACTCACACACAAACACCTACACACACTCACATACTCACATACTCACACACACTCACACACTCACACACTCACACACACCACACTCACACACTCACATACTCACACACTCACACACAGATACTCGGCCTGCCTGGACCAGACGCCAACACAGTAATCATCACTCGCATTCTCATCACCATCATCGTCGTCATCACCGTCATCATCGCCATCATTATCATCATCGTCACCACACTCACATACTCACACACACACTCACATACTCACCACACACACTCACATACTCACCACACTCACACAGTCACTCACACAGTCCTCACATACTCACACACAGATCTCGGCCTGCCTGGACCAGACGCCAACACAGTAATCATCACTCCCATTGTATCGCCATCATCGTCGCCATCATCATCGTCATCATCGTCATCGTCATCGTCACACACACTCACACCACATCACACACTCACACACAGTCTCACACACTCACACACTCATACTCACACACTCATACTCACATACTCACACACTCACACACTCACATACTCACATACTCACACACACACTCCACACACTCACATACTCACACACTCACACACTCATACTCACACACTCATACTCACATACTCACACACTCATACTCACACACTCATACTCACACACACTCACACCACTCACACTCATACTCACATACTCACACACTCACACACACTCACACACTAGACTCACACACTCATACTCACATACTCACACACTCACACACACTCACATACTCACATACTCACACACACACTCACACACACTCACATACTCACACACTCATACTCACAACTCATACTCACATCACTCACACTCACACACCCACTCATACTCACACACTCATACTCACACACACTCACACACTCACACACTCATACTCACATACTCACACACTCACACACCTCACACACTCATACTCACACACACTCACACACTCACACACTCATACTCACACACACTCACACACTCACACACTCATACTCACACACACTCATACTCACATACTCACACACAGTCACTCACATACTCACACACTCACACACTCATACTCACACAGTCACTCACACACTCACACACTCACACACTCATACTCACACACACTCACACAGTCACTCACATACTCACACACTCACACACTCACACACTCACCCTCATACTCACACACACTCACACATACTCACACATACTCACACACTCACACATACTCACACACACTCCACACACTCATACTCACATACTCCACACAGTCTCACACACTCACAAACTCACACACTCATACTCACACAGTCACTCACACACTCACACAGTCACTCACACACTCACACCACACATTACACTCACACACACACACTCACACACTCACACATACTCACACAGTCACCACACACACTCACACACACTCACACACACATACACTCACACTCACACACACTCACACACATACACATACTCACACACTCACACACACTCACACACACACTCACACACTCACTCACACACACTCACACACACTCACACACACACTCACACACACTCACACACACTCACTCACACACTCACACACAAACACCTACACACTCACACACACAAACACCTACACACACTCACACACACTCACTCACACACTCACACACAAACACCTACACACACTCACACACAACACCTACACACACTCACACTCTCACTCACTCAACAAAACACCTACACACACTCACACACTCACACACAAACACCTACACACACTCACTCACACACACTCACTCACACACACACTCACACACACTCACACACAAACACCTACACACACTCACTCACACACACTCACTCACACACACACTCACACACACACTCACACACAAACACCTACCACACTCACACTCACTCACTCACTCACACACAAACACCTACACCCACTCACTCCCCCCTCTCTCTTGCCCGCAGCTGCATCATCTGCCTGGAGGTGTCTTGTGGAGGGAGCATAGATTGGCACATTGCCCTGCACGCAACGCACCTTCCACGCAGCCTGCATCCACACCTGGCTACAGGTAATGACCACCATCTCGTGCTGGTGCTGATGATGATGTGGTTCTCTCTGTCTCCTCTCTGTGTCTCTCTCTCTCTCTGTGTCTCTCTGGTCTCTCTCCTGTGTCCTCTCTGTCTCTCTGTCTGCCTCTCTCTGTCTCTGTGTGTCTCTCTCTGTCTCTGTGTGTGTGTGTCTGTGTGTGACTGTGTGTGTGTCTGTGTGTTCTCTCTGTCTCTCTCTCTGTCTCTCTCTCTGTCTGTGTCTCTGTGTTTGTCTCTGTCTTCTCTGTCTGCCTCTCTCTGTCTCTGTGTGTCTCTCTCTGTCTCTGTGTGTGTGTGTCTGTGTGTGTGTGTCTCTGTGTGTCCTCTCTCTGTCTCTCTCTGTCTCTCTCTGGTGTGTGTCTGTGTGTGTGACTGTGGGTGTGTGTGTTTCTGTGTGGTCTGTGTGTGTGTCCTGTCCGGCAAAACAACCTGCACTATG